CTTTCTTTCTTTCTTTCTTTCTTTCTTTCTTTCTTTCTTTCTTTCTTCTCTCTCTCTCTTTCTCTCTCCTCTCCAGTGGTGGGATTCAATTTTTTTTTTACTACCAGTTCTGTGGGCGTGGCTTGGTGGGCGTGGCTTGGTGGGCGTGGCAGGGGGAAGGATACCGCAAAATCCCCCTTCCCTTCCCTCCCCGCCCCACTAACCTGCTTTCCAGCTCCGTTCTCCTGTGCAGGGCAACCAAAGGAGATCCAGCTGATCAGCTGGGACTCAATGGGAGACAGAGAAGAGATGGGTGCGGGGCCAGTCAGAGGCGGTATTGGTTGGTTCTCTGAACTACTCAACATTTCCGCTACTGGTTCTCCAGAACTGGTCAGAACTGGCTGAATACCACCTCTGCTTCTCTCTCTCTCTTTTTCCTTTCTTCCTTCCTTCCTTCCTTCCTTCCTTCCTTTTTATTTATTTAATTTATTTAATTTAATTTATTTATTTAGTCATGTCTTTGTAGTGTGTATTGAGAGTTGTATTCAACAAAAGTACATTTTAATGAATGCTGATCAGCGTAACAATAAAGTTACTTTAAGCCAGTCTTAAGGCGCGTGGACTTCAACTTCAGCTAGGCTGGCTGGGGAATTCTGGGACTTGAAGTCCACGCACCTTAAAAGTGCTCAAGTTTGGGAAATCCTTATCTTAGCATGATTCCCCCACGATCTTGTTGTCAACCATGTGTGCGCATGTGCGTATGTGTGGGTGTGCAACCGGGAAAGGGCTCCTCCGCTTCGTTTTGAACACAGGCCTTTCAAGGACTCCCCCTCCCCCAGCCTTCGGTCCTCGCTTGCATACACAGGAGGGCGTGTCTATTTGGAAATAATCTTCCTCCCCCACTTCTGATTTTTAGGAGACGCTTCCACCCATCTCCCACACCACGTTCTCGGCCCATCACCTCCCCTTCGTTGGATTCACCTACACCTCCGGGATGTGAGTATGGGAGCGTTGCTTCAGGGGTGGGAATTCAAATTTCTTAACAAGCGGTTCTATGGGTGTGGCCTAATTTGTGGGTGTGGCTTGATGGTCACGTGACTGGCTGGGCACGACTTGTATGTAAATATTATAAATATTTATGTCGATATGGATTTTTTTTTTAATTAAAAAAAAGAGCAACTTTTGCCCCAAATCGGGCAAAGCAGGCAGGCAGATTGAGTTGCTCACAGAATCACAGATTCACTTAGAGATCTGTGTTTCTGCCATCGGCTACCTGAGTCTGCACTGCTTCAATCCTAAGGGAGGTTCGGCTGTGCTTTTAGATGAGCTAGAAAGCAAGGAATCCAACCGTTTCCTGCTTTCTAGCTAGTCTAAATCTCCCGGCACAGCAGAACAGCTGATGGTTGGGGGGAAAAAAAGGAAAAAATAGCAACTTAGAAGGTAAGTTTGATGGCACGCATGCCAGGTAAGGAGTGAGTGGGCGGGGCGGGGAGGGGAAGGGTCAGCCAGTGGCGCAATTTGCTGGTTCTCCGAACTGGGCAGAATCATAACAACTGGTTCTATAGAACCAGTCTGACCAGGTGGAATCCCACCCCTGCATTGCTTTGATTTGCACATTCCTTCCCACTCGGCTGGTGCTCCAGGTAGCCTGGAGCCTCCAGCTTCAGCCGCAGTCTATCTCGAAACTACTGTCAGCCGGCCAATAGGGAGCTGCGGCCTCTTGCTTTCTGCCGCCGGGCATCTGGGGTTGTCCAACCATAGAGGACGGGGTTTGGTTTGGTCTTTCAGTCTGATGGGAATTTCTGAGGCTTTCCGTAATTTTGGTTTTTGCAGCCGGAGGCTGTTGTATTCAAACAGCCAAGCGTGCATGTATTAAATGCTTCTGTGCATGTATTAAAAAGAGGTTCAAAGTATTATTAGTGGCTGGTTGAAGTCTTTCCCCAGTTCATGGAAGGACTCTGAATCTATCTATATAAAAAGAGAAATACCACTCAGCCATCATCACAAAATCTTCAGAACCGTAAAGCCTACAAACTTGAAATTGGGCACGTAGGTTCCTCTTGGCTTCTAGGTGCTCACTAAGAAAGGATTCTTCGAAATGACCATCAGAGCATTTAGAGTATTTCCTATATTATTATTATTACTATTACTACTATTATTATTATTATTATTATTATTATTATTATTATTATTATTATTATTA